GTCAGTGCAGCCCCCGTAAACCTGGGACTTTGATGAACCAACCAGTGGTCTAGAAGTGTCCTTCCCCTGCACTTCCTGTCACTCAGGTAGAGCCAGAGAAAGAGTCGTCCTCTTTAGTGTGCAGACTTTGAGCTGGATTGACAGTAAAGTTGGTGATTACATCAGCTTAACATTTAAATTCAAATTGATGATGATGATTTTGATTTGATTGAAATGATTGTGATTTAAAGCTAAATTCAATTTAAGTTATTCAAATCTATTTTATTTTATTTTATTTCAAACAGAAAGTTGCGTTTTAATGGACCTTGAATGACTCAACACCTTGTGACAGTATCTGCACGTGGCTGGTAAGTCTCCTGAACTCTCTGTGGCTGTTTAATCAGTATGTGCAGCACCGGTCAGGTGTCTGTCTCGTTATAATATCGGTAGAACTTGTCAATGTTCCAGTATGTACAGAAAACTGCAGCAGAATGTGGTTTTATTTGCTTCCTTTGTACCGACGTTGGTATAGAAGTTATTTAATGAATCACAGGCTACACTTAGAGACAGACAACCAAGCACACTCACATTCACACCTACAGACAATTTAGAATCACCAACTAACCTCAACATGATTCTGGACCGTGTGGGAGGAAGCCGGAGAACCCGGAGAGAACCCACACTGCACAGGGAGAACATGCAAACTCCACGCAGAAAGATCCCGGGTGTCCTCACTGGGACGCGAACCGGCAACAGGCTACCCACCGCTCCACCTTGCAGCCCAGATTTATGTCATAAACACTTCAAATCCTCACCATCCACTGAAGGCCTCTGAGTCAATCAAATAACCAAACATGACAAAATTCAACAGTCAGCAGATTCAGGTCACCTTTAAGGGACTGACGGTGAAATATTTTGAGACGAGTTAATGTTGAAGAAAAAGAAAGTTGGAATATGTGGAAAATAAAATGTAAATATTTCACAAAATGGGTCATAAGATTTATAGAAATCAAATTTAATAACAAAGTCACAGCATGAGAGCAACGTACCTGTTTTAAATTCTGATGTGAAGTCAGAGGTTTGATCAATTCATACTGGTTTATCATAGATAGAAGGATATTGTGATCTAAATGATGTTGGAGTCTGTTACCGGACATTATTACTGGAAGAGGTGTCTGGTAATTGGAACCGAGGCACAAAGCGATTAGAACAGATATTTCTGGCATCAGCAAAGGACGAGAGTTCAGTGAACAAAATCTTAAAACTGTTGTTGTTTCTCTTCTGTGACCTTCAGAGATGACGGTCTGCAGACATAAACTGAAGCTCTGTAGTGGTCACAACAAAGACTCACGTTTACAGTCCAAATATAGCATATTACCTGTAAACACTCCACAAATGATCAAGCACCGTTATGTTTTTATGAAACAACTTTTTAAAAAAAAACACTGCAAGTAACTGCTGCATATGCAAAAGCTTCAGCATTCTGGTAGATTAATCGTAGCAGCTGGACTTGCTTGAGTTCCTTGAAGACATAGACAGAGGTGGAGGTCTGAGGCATCATCGCTCATCTGTTTACATTTAAATCCTAAGATCTCTCCCGAGGAAGATGAAACGGCATCCACACCTAGCCTCAGAAGACCCTAACGAACCCCATTGTGTCAGGGGGAGCAGTAATGACTCACATAACGAGGGGGAGGAACAACAAACCCCCAGTTGAAACCGAAACTCAGGTGTTAATGGCTCCTTAAGGATATCAGTATGTGGAACTCCCAACTAGTCAGTCAGAACTGATGAAGCCTCTTGGATGAGAGGTGGAACGTCTTCAAGGAACTCAAGCAAGTCCAGCTGCTACGATTAATCTACCAGAACAACCATGACCTGGATGACTGAGAATCTTCACAGACAAAAGTTTCAGCACTTTTTAACTTACTCATTAGGCCTGTCAGCTGATAAATCCTCTAAATCTTTAAAAGTTTTGTTATAACTCAATAATTATGATCTCTGAGCAACTGTCTGATGATTTGCAAGTGAAACTAAAAAGCAGGAAAGGTTACAAAAAGAAGGACTTCTAGTTTAAGAAATCCCCCACTTGAGATACCATCAAGGTATGTGAAGTAAAGGAATGTTTGGAAGTCAAGACAAACTGTGGAAGATCAAAAAGCAGACAACACTGTATGTCTGCTGAGAAGAAAGGCAAAGAAAAGCTGCATGTGATTGTAGCCGAGCTGCAGGAAGGTTTAGCTGACGGTAGTGGTGCTTTCTGCTTGTTGCTGTGCAGCACTGAAACTGGGTCACTGACATGTCATAATGTCAAACCTTTAACTTCAACCGCAAAGTCTGAACACCTACATAAAAAGTGGTTTTGGAAACACAGGATGTGGACAGATTAAATTAAGATCATGTTAACTTTGTTTGCAAAAAAAACAGCAGCTGCAGCATGTGTGGAGAAAAAACAAAATAAAACACCTTGCAAGTTGTTGAGCATGGGGGTGGAATCATCATGCTTTGGGTTTAGTGATGTATATTTGGACTGTCAGCTTTAGATCTAATTCAGGCTACCCAATCTAATCTTAAAATATAATTTATAACCTTTAAATACAGTAAGAGATATCAGACTTACTTTATTAGTCATTTACTTTTTCTTGCTATTTTATGTTCCATGACTGTTCTTGAAATACCTTAAGACAGTTTTTAAACAGTTAGGACTTGTAAAATTAGACTTTCTTCTTGAAAAATTAAAGCTATTTTCATAAGACTACACTCTCCTACTTCCTTTAAAGCACAGATTTATTTCCCAGATACACTAATGTTGTCTCACGACACAGGCAGGGATAAACTGAAAGGAAACCAAATTCAAAAAAATAAAAATAAAACAAAAACTGTTACAGAATAAAGAAGCTAAACTCTAAGGAAACTAAACAGGGAATAACCAACCTAATGCAAAGAGGGGAACTGGAAAGACACTCAAAAAGTAACTCAACTAACCGTGGGACAGATACAAAATAAGTACAGGGAAATGCTGATTAAGGTTAACAAAAACAGGGATGCTGACTAAACCAAAACTAACAAGGGGGCAAAAGGGCAGGCAGGAGACAGGTTGGCAGACGGCTGTGAAACCGGTGGATGGGGTGACGACCAGAGTAAAGGGAAGAGCAGGTCTTTATGGGAAGGAGGTGATTGGGAGCAGGTGAGTCAGGAGTTGCAGCAGTCAGTGATTGTGGGTGATTGAGGGCTGAGAGGCAGAGAGACAGACACAGAGAGAGACAAGAGACCAAAGCAGGGGCTGAAACAGGGATCCTGACATATTGATGCCTTGCTTTGTATTTTTTTAGTCTATTTTCTAGAACTCTTCCACCGTTCTTTTCCACAGATGCTTTGAAATAAAAATGAAGTTCAAAGAAGGAAGCAGCCTGAGCAGCAACGTTATCTGTTGCAGTTTCTACCTTCTACCATTTGGATGAAAGCGTAGTGCCTGTTCTGCATTACTGACTAATTTGTTGAATATCTGTGCCTTTATAATTTAGCTTTGCATGACAGCAGTCTTGTAAAGATCAGCAACAAGTTATGTAAAGTGACCACCACCATAGAAAGATAAACTGAGATACAAAATGCACAATAAAGTGTTAAATATAGTATGAATAATAAAATGTGCTAGATTGAAAATGCACCATGAAGTGTCCAATGCTAACAATAAAAATGTACAGTGAATGAGGTGATTAAAGTCCTGCAAACAGCAGTCCAGCATGTGCTGGTTATGCAGTGAGTGCAACGACAGCAGAAAAACAGACGACTGATAGAGGATGCGTGTCCTTCCTGATACTGAGATCAGGGCTCGCTGCAAATAGCTCTTTATGTCTCTGCCTGCTTGTCCGGGCTTGTCCTGCTGCAGGATTAATTTAGACTGATTAGACGCCTCCCTGGTGTGGTCTGATCCTTAATCAGCAAAGCAAGCGACTCTGAGGTCATGTTTCTTTTGCTCTGGCAGATTTCCTGTTCATGCAGATTTTCAGCCCCATCCCAACCGTTTTTGTCATTTTTGGCAGGTTTGATATAAAGACTGTAAAGAGGATCGCAGCTACAGTGATGGAAATGAGTATTTGATCCCCTCCATATTTCATGATTTCGGCCACATACGAAAACACGATCAGTTTGTCATTTTAGTCGTAGGTTTTTTTTAACTGTACGAGACAGAATAGCAGCTAAAAAACAAAACCTTGAGAAAACCACATTATCTAACAGTTACAAGTGACCTTCCAGTTGATAAGGGGAGGTAAGGATTTGATCCCCCAGCAAAACACGACTTAGCACTTGGTGGAGTAACCCTTGTTCACAACCACAGATGTTTCTTGTAGTTGGTCACCAGGTTTCCACACATGTGTTGTTTAGAAGCATGTCTGGAGACTGGCTATAGGCCACTCCATGAACGTAATGTGCTTCTTCTTGAGCCACTCCTTTGTGGCCTTGTCCGTATGCTTTGGGTTGTCATCTTGCTGGATGACCCTCTCACGCCCCATTTTAAGTGCTCTGGCTGAGGGAAGGAGGTTCTTGCTTAAGATTTCTCAGTTCATGGCATCATTCGTTGTTCCCTTGATGCGGTGCAGTCATCCTTTACCCTTGGCAGAGAAACACCCCCCGAGGCATAATGGTTCCACCTCCATGCTCGGCTGTGGGGATGGTGTTCTAGGGGTCATCGACAGCATTCTTCTCTCTCTAAACACTGAGTTGAATTGATACCAAAGTGCTAATGAGGAATAAGGAATGTTGCTCTTTTCAGTGTCTACATGACAGCCGAGGAATGAAGTATTTATTATTGACTAATTACTGGGTAAACTTTTTCTCTGGAATGAACTTTGTCCTTCCTTCCATTTCCGTCTGCTTATCTGTGGTCGACTCATGGTGGTAGCAGATTAGCAGGTCATTCCAGACTTCCTTCTCCTCATCAACATATTCCAACTTTCTTTGGGAGAGTCTGAGATGTACCCAGGCCAAATGAGATATATAATCCCTACAGAGAGGTCTGGCTTTGCTCTGGCATCTACCCGTACTTGGACATGGCTGGAAAACCTCTATAGGAAGGCACCCAGTAGGCCTGAACCACCTCAACTACCTCCTTTTGATATGAAGGAGCAGAAATTCTACACATTCTGTCTCTAAAGCTGAACCCAGCCACCCTAGAGAGGAAACTCATGTCAGCCGATTGTATCTGCTACCTTTTTCTTTCGGTCGCCACCCAGAGCTCATGACTATAGATGATGGTTAGAATTTAATTTGACAGTTAAATCAAGAGCTTCTGTTTCCAGCTGAGCTCCTTCTTCACCACCACGATCTGACAGAACGTCTGCATTACCAGTCCAGCTGTCCATGTTACTCTCAGAAGATCCTGGGATACTTAAACTTCCTTGTTTGGAGCAGCAACTAACCCCCAACATTCTACCCAGACTAAATAATGTTTACTGCTTTTCCCTGTGAATCAGTGTCAGAACGACGCTTCTTAAATGGTGTATCCAAGGTGTTGTAGTGGAAAGAATAGGTTCCAAGAATAAGACATTTTTATGACAGAAAAGATCTGATCCCTGTCTCTGCAGAGAGACAACCTCATTTTTATTGCGCACATAAATTTATATAATGTATTTATATAAAGTGTGTCGCTCCACTTCCAAAGTCCTCCCTTTCTGGTTACGTCTACAAATTAGAATCAGTTTCTTTTCTGCCTGCGCCTGTCACATTGCAATGACATGAGGTCAGTCAAGCAGGCGCTGTGGAGGTTGTGGTACTTTCCAGTTGAAAATATGTCATCTATTACAGCGGTCTTCAACCTTTTTTGCACCACGGACCGGTTTTAAGCAAGAAATTTTTCTACAGACCGGTCATTACGCACATAACAAATAATAATTGTTTTTTTTTCTATTGAAAAGTTTCATAAATGAATAAAATAAATTTTTATTGCTTAATATGTTTACTTTTTCTTCTGTCTCAGTATCGAGTCTCTCCCACTTTCCAAAGCAGCTCTCCTGAGATGTTTGTTTTTGACTGACGGCTTCCTTTAGCAGCCGGGCATAAAAACTGACAGTCAAGTGCGGGAAACGAACACAAACGGAAGTGACGGGAAGACGAGCTAGTCATGTTTCAAAATAAAACACCCTGCAGACTCCGCTGGAAATAAAAATAAATCAATAAAATGTTTTTATTCTATCTGTGCGGCCCGGTACCAAATGACCCACGGCCTGGTACCGGTCCGCGGCCCGGTGGTTGGGGACCGCTGAGCTATTATAACAAGAGGATAAAGCATTCCCTAATAATTCGGTCAGCCCATGTATGTGGCGTATATCGGATTATGTAACGCACATATCTATAAAGAAATACTTAAGAACACATTGATAACCAGATGATTTTATACATAATTTCACTAAAAATAAAGAATACCTTCCTAACACATGGATAAATGAATACAGATATGTATCTGGAAACACATGTTTTCCACTGCAGTATGAATGCTTTTATAGGACTTTGAGTTTCTAAATTATGCAGCAATCTGAAGTATCGCCATCAGTACACAAGAGGAAGCTTTTTGTAATTATAACCTGTGAAGAATAACTGCTGTTGCTCACCCTTCACCCTGTCTCTAAGTGTGGCCCTGCGATGGACTGGCGACCTGTCCAGGGTGTCCCCTGCCTTCGCCCTAAGTCGGCTGGGATAGACTCCAGCCCCCCCGCGACCCTAGTGAGGATTAAGCGGTGTATAGAAAATGGATGGATGGATATAGGTATACCTAGCTAAAGCTACTGCAGTCCATTTCCGGTTTTCCATCATCCATGAACATGCATGTCTTTGGACTGTTGGGTTAAACCACAGCATCCTGAGGAAACGAACACAATTAGACTGCTTTAGTGTTCTTTAAACTGAGTGGAAAAACTACACATTTAATCCTTGTTTGTGCTTCACAGCTGTAATGTTTCAATCTTTAGAACCAAAATTGTCTAAACCCTCAATCTGAAGTGTTTTTTTTTAAACATATTTGAATAGTTTTCAACTTAATAAAAACTAATGTCTTTCGCTGAGCAACACAATATTTAGATAAACAACTTGTTCTCTCCCATATAAGTGGATCAAAAGAGAACGTGAGGATTGAAGATGGTGATGAATTCAGTGCTGGTTTGAAGCTGAGACCATGTTTGATGGCTGTTGCCAGGACTCAGGGTGGGTCACTAACAGTTATTGTTTCTGTACTACACCAGATAACAAACCTCTGACCTTTGGAAGCACCACACCTCGGTCATGCTGTAAATGAAAGTATGTTGGGTATGAAAACTGAATCACATTTGCCTGGAATGTTCTGGTGCTTGTATTGACAGAAAATAACACTATGAGGCCATTGTGCTATGATGTTTTGTTTTGTTTAATCTTAGTTCCTACATAGTTATGAGAAAAGACCATAATCTAGATCCATTTCAATGACCTTACACACACGAGGTCTTTTTATGCGACATTTCTCAAACCACTTTACACTTACTTTAATATCGAGGTTCATGTTCCTTACACAGATCGGCTGTCTAGCCTTGTAATACTGTTGTCCTGTCTGAGCTGGATTACTCATGATTTGGAGCTTTAAAAGCTGAATGTAGAACAGAGAATTAATCAGACAGCAACATTATGCATCTGACTTCTTAAAAAGTCAGTCGATAACCACCTCAACTTTGGTTTGTCTGTTGCTTTAAACGGGCAGCATAAATAACTGACTTCATCTGAGTTTTTCTACAATCGTTTATGAGACATGATAACCTTAATCTCTTCCAATTATCAGATATTTTCTTGAAATAACAAGAGAAGTTTCCCAAAATGAGGTTTCCTTTGTGAACACATTGGTTCCTGTGTGGGATGTTGTGGCTGTTCCCGAAACAACTCCCTCAGATCTGATGTTCGGTGTGATGAGGAGTTTCTGAAGCTATCACTGCGTCTACATGAAGACGGTTACTGTGCAGCATTTAGAGGGAAGTTGTGCAGCAGTTAGCCACTGTGAGGCCAGGTTTACACATCGCTGGGTATTTACAAGAACGGATCTACGTTTTTTAAAACAACATTGTTCACACCAGTTCGTTTTCAAAAAAAATCTTTGTTCACACAAACCCACATAAACATGTAGTTAAGGTTGCTAGGACCATGCCAAACCTATAGGGAGCCATGCCAGCCAATCACAATCCTGGAACAAACACAACGAACAACAACGAACGGCAGGAGTTAGTTCCTGTTACTGCAACGATAATGGCGTGAGGGTCATATGATTGTTTTCTGACTTGTACCTTTGTTTAGGTGTAAACCAAACGCATTGAAGTATCACCGTTTTTGCTACGTGTAAACAAGGCCTGAGGTGTTAACCTGAACTTTGCCTCTGTGCATGCATTTTTGCTGCTGAATTGATGTTTGGAAAAGCTGATGTGCACTTTTTCTGCCAGTATGTTGGGTTCAGCATCCAGCCTTTGCAGACTCACTGAAACATTACAATAAATAGGCAACTAGAACTCTACCATTGCTACTCTTCACATGAAGGCTGTAAGCTTTCATAGTGGAACCGTTAACATAAATGCAGGGAGGATCTTTTGCAGTCAGCGTCTGGCAGAAGCCGGCAGCTCCTTTGGTAGTTTCGCTGACTTGGCTGAGTGTTGTGGTGAAGCTGTTCACGAGCTCCAGTGGTGGATGTCAACACATCCGTCCTGTGTGATGGAAGAACCAGGTTCAAATCCTGGCTGGAGGGACTCGCTTTGCAACGCTCTCAGTCAAAGTTACCACTTCAGCTGCTCAAAACAGTAAACAGCCACATTCACTAATATAACAGCTGGACACAACATTTAGTGTGTCTGGGATCAAAGATAGTGGCTCTAACATCTGTTTCAGTTTGACCTTCCTGCATGTTGTTTACATAACCAAACCTATGCAAAAGTTTCCAGCACTGCCTTTTATGGCGAGCTAAAAACAGAATTATGCAGTAAGGTAAGGTATTACTAACTTTTTCTTTTGTTAAACAAATAAAATGTACTTTCACCAACTGATGATCGATCACAGCAAGTAGATAATAGCAGAGATGAGCAGTAGAGGTTGTTGTAATATGTCATGAATAAACATGTATCTGACAAATCCTACTGATCTTTTCACTCGGTTTTTTATGAGTTCGTTGATCCAAATACTGGTGATATCTAGTAATCAGCTTTAAATGTGGATGTGGTTATCAGTGACAGTTTGTGGTGCCTTTGAATTGTGCAAAGTGGCAGAAATGTTACGTACTGACTTGTTGGGAAAAAGGAAAACCAAGGAAGATTGACTAGATGCTTTGGGTAAAATAAATTCGTTTATGAGGGAAACTAAAAGAGAAAATGTATGGTGCTTTTTAAATCAAAGAAAGAAATATAACCAGACAAACAGCCTCAGTGTTTTGACGAACCTCCGCTGAACAAACAAAAAACAAAAATGAAAATGAAGCATCACTGCTTCACCTCAACAGAGTCAGACCAGCTCTTAGTGGCACTAAAAATAGAAATGCTGTACATGTGTTAGGTTCAGTTTCCAGGTAACCAGTAAGTACCTTGGGTGCCACAGAAGCCTTTCTGGATTATAATCATTACATGAGCTCTACTGGCCAGCTGCTCCATGAAACAGCTTCACCAGTTGTCAAGCTGGTGTTTTGGAAAACTCTCAGGAGACCAAACATAGTGATCGAAACGCAACAAGGAAGGTTAAACACAGGAGCTGCAACCGCAACACGCACCATGGATGGAATCATATAGATAAACACTGATGCATAAGAAAGTAAACAGACTGTTAGTCTTTAACTCACCACAATGACGCAGCTGCCGGAGCAAAGGGTTTCCTCAAATCGAATCGCTGCATCTGGTAACTTCACTGCTCGGATTCTTTCCACGACTGTCTAAGATTCTTAGATAGAAAAAAAACACCAAAAAACGAGCACCATAGCTTCCTCTAAGCCACTTGCTGTCTGCTGTTCCTTCGCTCTGCGCTCTGACTCATTTACGAACAACCGAAGTGGGTTCAGGGTTTTGCTTTGTTGCAGGCAGGTCGTCTGGCATCCTCGAGTCATTCTGATTAATGGCTGAGACCAGATGTGAGCACAGAACGATGTTGGCATGTTGGTCAAATCATCATTTAATTTATATTTCACTTCCGTCACCTTTTATTTCAAAACTGTCTGCAAAGCTCAGCTCATGAATAACAGGTCAGTGCAACAGGGATTGTGCTCTATGAGGGTTTGACTTTAGGTGTACGTCAGGAAACATTGAAGTAGAAACGTAATTAAAGCTGAAGTACGAAGGCTGACAATGTTGTATGTGAATTTAAGTGCGTGTTGTAATTGTGTTTTGGTTTTGTGAAGTCTTTCATATCAGAGCATACAATGCAGGCTCTGTGTACCTCCACATTACATCTTAAGTATCACATTGGAATTACTGTTCACAATAGACAGCAAAACATGGCAAAGGAGACCATTTTGGTATGAAAACCAACACTTATTTAATTTACAACCATTATCTTGGAGCAGTGCTGCACATCTGGCCTTTGTAACAAACGAAGCAGCTGGAAAATCTGAAAAAAGGAAGGAACAGTGAAAGTGCACGACCTTCTGACTAAAGGGAGGCCCTGCTTCCTCTGTATCAATATGGAGCCAGTAAATGAAACAACACTGCTGCTAGGTGCGGTCCAGTCATTTGGGACTCATGCTGACCCCATGGACATACTTTCTTCAACAGTTTCTGTCTCGTATCAGTTCACATAGCTCTGTTAGGGACTTGTCGGCTTCTTTGGTCGCACCTTCTATCCATCTGACTCTTTGCCTCCGTCTTCTTCTTTTATCCTGCACCTTTCCAAGCATGATGTCCTGCTCCATTCCCTTTGATGGTAGGATATGTCCACAGTAAGTAAGTCTGTGCTTCAGTACCAGGGCCTCCAGGGAGCAGTTTGGTTGTAATTCATCCCACGCTGACTGGTTTGTTCTCCTGGCTATCCATGGGATCCTTAGCTTTCTACGCCGCGTTTCAAAAGACTCTAATTCCTTTCTATCTGCCTTTTTAACTGTCCAGTGATCGCCTCCACACATCACAACAGGAAACACCGATGATGTAATTACCCTCATCTTTGTTGTGCTGCTGACATCTTTGTCTTTCATTATCTTGTTGAGTCCAGACATTGCAGTTTTCCCAAGTTCTACATACTGTTATATTTATGCAGGATGTGCCCCTTCTCTCTCTACTTTGGAAGACAAAACTATCAACAACTTCACTGGTTTTTTACAGCATAGAAGAATAACAGCACTGGAGAACTTTAAAACTATACAAGCCTGACCTCTAGTGGTTGAACTCAGTGTTGCAGCCATTCGCAAAAATACTCATCGGTTATTATGTTGATTTCAGTTTATGAATCCACTTGGTGGCACATGGAAAATCATCAGAGGAGAAAACTGTACGCAGATTATACTGGTAGTACAGGTTGTTTGTTTTTAAAGTGGAAGAAAAAAAAGAAAGTGATTTGTGGTTTTTGTGTGTGTGTTGTACAGCCTGACATTTTATTTGTCTGAATTCTTCATGTGTAAATTCATTCACTACTGTTGTCAAAACTCTACCAAACTAAAGATGTGACTCATAAAGAAAATTCTAAATACATCTACTCTAAATAAAGCAAACAGAGGTCTATGTAAGGGGCAAACACAGTATATCAGGCCTGACCACACAGTCACTGTTGGGTTGTTTCTCTACAGAATATTTGGCAAAAGGAAAAATGATAGAAATCATATCGTCAAGCATCAGCGTCACCACACATGATATTCGTAGGACAGATAACATTAGCTAACGTTGTGTGTTGTTGATTAAAACTTAGTTGCCTTATAATATTAGAATCATTTTTGCTAATTTGAGTAGTTGTCAATGCTTTTATTTTGAAGGTGCTGGGTAGCTCGGGCACTGGGTGAATCTACATAAAGGTCAAGAGAGGCAGCAGGAGCCATTGTTCGTTTGCTTGCAATGGAAATAAACCGAAGAAACTTTATGTTTTTGTCTGGACAATGGACTTATTTTCCCTGCGTAAATAATTCCATATAGGTGCCTCAGACGTTTGATTTTATTTTGATAATTTTATTTATTTATTTATTTGATAATTCAGCTCAGGACAAACAGCAGATTACAAATGATAAATTCTTACCTCCAGTGTTGTTTCAGAGGCTGCTGGGTGGCTGATGTTCACAGTGTGATGTGCTCCAAACACCTACAGATCTGTGTCACCAAGACTTTTAATGCATCATTCACTAGTGGAGACCTTCCTGCAGCTTACAAATCTACATTAATAAGGTTCTCAAAATAGTAAATCTCACAAATAAATTATAGAATGATTGTACTATCTGTCTGTTCTTTCATATCTTGACAAATATCCATCCATCGTTTTCCTTCATCTTATCCAGGCTGACGGTGGCAGCAGGCGAAGCAAGTCCAGCTCTTCCTGGTGGATCCCAAGACTATATGAGATATGTAGAAAAAATCCAGTAAGTCATGGCTCGACTTTGGTGTCACCTCCCAGATGGAGTCACAGATAAAGCCTCCAGAGGAAGGCGATGAGGAGGAATCAGCATCAGAAGTCCCCTCAGCTGGTTCTTAGTGAAGCAAAGGAGCAGCGACTTTACTCTGAGCCTTCTTAGGATGTTCTGAGGCCCAAGAGACTCCTTTGCCTTAAAAACTAAATTAAAAAACGTTGCCCATCAGCTAATGTAATGGTTTTAGTTTATCCACTCAATGGATGATAGAAAATAATATAATAATAATAATTCACTCTATTTATGTAGCACCTTTTTAAAACAGAAGAAAAGAAAAAACAGAAAAAAAAGACAAGTAAAAAGAAAAGATTCACAAAATAAATCAATATAGCAACACCAGATTTGAAAAGAAAAAAAAAATAGTGGGAGAAAAGAAAACAAGGGTAAAACCATAAAAACAAGGGCAAAAATAACAACAATATTAAATAAATACACTAAACAAGTCAAAATAAATAAATAAATAAGTACATGAACATCACACGCTGTTGAAGGAGACTTGAACTCTTTTGGAAGATGGATTTTTTTTTCTAACAGACTGCTAGAAAGCTGGACTTCTTTTTGCAACCGGAGGAGTCTCCCCCTGCTGGCTGTTGGAAAGAATGCAGGTTTAAGGCTTCACTGTATGGAACCAGGTGATGCGTCCATATTTTATATGCAGTCACTGGGCTCTCTCCACCACTGTTAGGGGAGTTAGGTGCATTAAGTTAAACAGCAGGTGGCGCTACTTCTCCAACTGGGACCTATAAGCCCCTGCAGAAGAAAACCGCACAGTGATGTGATGCAACTAAAGGAGCATCAGTGGAAAACAGGACAGAAATATGTCATTTATGTTAACCCTCCTATTATCTTTGGGGTCAGTTTGATCCCAGTCAGTGTTTAACTTCTCTAAATAAGTAACTGACATCATTTTTTGTGTGTTTTATTTAAAGGGCTATTTACAAATAAACTTGGGTAACAATTTTAATTATGATAATTTTGTGGAGGTTTAAATTGCTGGAGTCAAATTGACCCCAAGGATAAAAGATGTCAGTAAATTAAAGGTAATAGGAGGGTTAATTTGACATATTAATTTGAGGAAGGCTACAGTCTTATATACAACGTTTCTGTTTTAATTGCAATCGTTTGCTTATTGCTTTTAATTTATGTACGAATTTCCACGACAGACAAATTTTTTTTTTGGTGTTTCCCTTTAAAATGGACAAATGAGAATGATGGAAAATGAAAATACGCTGAGCGTACGGGGGTTTTAGGGCCTTATCGTATGATCAAGCTTGTCTTTTCTCGTCCCGTTAATGCTTTCTTGTACTCGCTGACCCTTCTGTATCGAGCCTATACCATCAATACAGCCTTTAATGCCTCCCATGTGCATTTCCCCGTCTCATGGTTTGATTATCTGGGTCAGAAAAATAGAGCAGATCCTTGCAATAAAGTGAGGAAATGTCAAGTGGGAGTGGCAGCTTTTTTTTTTTTTTCCCCCTTGCCGCTATTTTGGACGTGTTTTCATTTATGGTTGCAGAAATCCATGGTAACTCCGGGCCTCTTTGTCATGAGGTCAGGCTGGTGTTTGTGTTTTCATTTTAAGTAATAATGACTTGACGATGTTTGCTGCGTGCTTCATGAAGGGGAAGTCACTCCCTTCCTCTCAGAGTTGATTTGGCAGACCTTTAGCTCCACGTTTCAGAGACGTGGTGTGTTTTCTGCATTCAGGCGACAGAAGAGCCTGAGTTCCTGTCCATGCGTTCGTTTTTGATGAGTGGAGCCTCATTGACTGTATCCTGCATTTGTACCTGTGTTCCTGTGTGTGTGTGTTCAGATATGTGAGGTTAACAGATCAGACCGGGAAGTTAGAACTCATCCTCGAACCGTAACGCACCCACACAGAGTCATTGTTTCAGTTGCTGTAAAATCTACAAGCATCTGTAGACAACGGTGTGTCATCAGACAAAGTATGTTACAGAACAAACAAAAAAGATTGTCAAGAAAAAAAAGAAGTTTACAATTTACACAGTGACTGATCGTATGAGTTGTGGATTGTTTTGCATCTGACCATCGACTGAACATGATGTCTTTACAATAATAATACAGATAGTTCCCTCTGGGTTGAACATGAGTCGCCGCCCCAAGCAAATAAGTTTAAGTATCTCGGGATCTCGATCACATGACGGAAAAATGGAGCGTGAGATTGTCAGAAAATCAGGTCCAGCGTCAACAGTAATGTGGACAATCTGGACCGTTGTGGTGAACAGGAAGCTGAGCCGTGAGCTATTCATTTACCAGTCGACCTACGTTCCAGCCCAGGAGTCTCAAACTCAACTTACCCGGGGGCCGCTGGAGGTAGAGTCTGGGTGAGGCTGGGCCGCATCAAGTCTTCCACAAAAAATGGGTTACAAGTATTCCACAAAAAGTACAACTGATCCAATCTTCTCAATCTTTATTGATAACAATTCAGAACACGAACGGTTCTTCAGAACTTAGGCTTCTCTTACCTCTTCCTTGTTGGCGGTGCTTCCTCTTATACAGCTGAGCCACATTTGGTTTGAGGGAGGAAACAACTGAGACCCTCAGTATGGCTCGAAGATGCTCATCAGTAAGTTCGGACCTGCACTTTGACTTTATGGTGGAGAAGAGCTTTTCACACAGATAGAAAAAAGAAAAGAAAACATGCACTAGGCGCCCCTATAACCTGGTTGAGCAGGTGACCCATGAACAGGGGCTATAGTTCCCCGGCGCAGCGTTCATGAGTTCGACTCCTGCTCACGACAGTTTGCTGCAGGTCTCTCCCCATTCTTCTCCCCCCTTTCCTGTCTCACTCTCTCACTGTCCTGACTAATGAAGGCAAAAACACCAGAAAAATAGTCTTTTAAAAAAAAAAAAAAAAACATGCACTGGGTGACAGGATATATGTTCCCTCCACTTGGTGACACTCCTGAATCACGTTACAAGTGACTGACGTTGCTGATTCACATTGCTGTCACAAACTTGAGCCCACAAATGATAAAAAATATAGAACAGCCAGGGCAACGACTTACTCAGGTGCGTGTAAGAAAAACGCACACTACACTTTGATGTCAAGTAGGCGGCTGTGTGTTTGAGACCCCTGATCTAGCCCTTAAATATTGGCATCAGCTCCGGGTAGTGACTGAAAGAATACGATTACGTATACAAGCAACCAAAGAGAGTTTTGTACGTAGGGCTGCTGAGCTCAGCCTTAGAGTGAGAGTGAACAGCTTGGACATGCAGAAGAAAGTTGGAGCAGAGTCCATTGCGTTGAAAGGAAACAGCTGAAGCCGTTCAGGTATCTAGGATGCTTCCTGGACTCCTTCTTTGAGAGTCCACATGGTCAATTTGCAAGAGACCCTGGGGAAGACTCATTGGAGGTTTTACATATGTCATCTGACCTGGGATGGCTTGGTGGTTAGCACTGTTGCCTCACAGCTAGAAGGTCGCCGGTGAGGACACCCGGGATCTTTCTGTGTGGAGTCTCCATGTTCTCCCCGTGCAGCGTGGGTTCTCTACGGGTTCTCCAGCTTCCTCCCACACAGTCCAAAAACATGTTGAGGTTAATTGGTGATTGTAAATTGTCCGTAGGTGTGAATGTGAGTGTGCTTGGTTGTCTGTCTCTAAGTGTAGCCCTGTGATAGACTGGTGACCTGTACCAGGTGAACCTGCCTTCACCCTGAGTCAGCTGGGATAGACTCCAGCCCCCCATGACCCTAGTGAGGATTAAGTGGTAGAATAGATAATATGGATCTGACCTGGGAACACTTCAGGATCCCCCAAGAGGAACTGAAAAATGTAGCTGGGAAGAGGGACGTCCAGAATGACCGGTCTAACCTGCTGCCACCACGGGGTATGTAGCATCAAGAATCACTTCAGATTCTGATTAGTGTTATTTTATCTGAGCTTATCTGTCTGTAATTAAAGAAAAAGACTCATGTTTACTCCTCTGATGGACGTCTCCTACATTTAGTCTTTCAATTTCCTCCTGTGATAAAGCCTCACCACAGCCGCCATCCCATACCCACAGATAAACAGATACAGGAGAACCGCTGTGTTTTAAGTGGCTGCTTTTAGATAAGATCCTCTCACGCTTCCTTTAATAATGACCTATTTTTGCGTAGGTTTAAACTGCGCATGCACACACATACACAGATCCATGTCTTTACCTCAGTGCCTCCTGAGTCTGACTGCAGTTCCCATGAGGCTCTGTGCTCACAGGCTTCAGTTTAATCATTAGCTGGGCTTGTGCTTGGTTTTAAAGTGGGGTTAGATTGTGGGGCATGAGTCAGAAAAAGATAAAAACAAATAAAAGCTAAGACAATGCCTGAGATGTCTATTGGAAACAAGGTTGCATCCAGAGAAATGCAGCTGAAACAGGTCCTACAGTACAAGACTTGTTAGGAAACGTAGAGGTGTGTCTGCATTATGTGCACCTCTTGCATTCCCACAGCTTGAACTGGCTGAATAAAGAGCAGCCAAACAAGCTTGGAGTTAAAGCTGAAACCTCAGTTTGACTCCTGCAGTGGGATTTCAGTTCAGTTCCACTGCCCACTGAAGAAAATCCATGGAATTAACTGAAGCTATAAGTAGAGGAACAAGTTAATCCATGTTAATGTGCCCTGATTGAGCTGTTTGTGCAGTTTGATCAGTAAACACTAGAAATGGTTTAGAGTTGGAAATTGATTTGTTTAAGAACGATCTCTGATCGTCAGATAACCTTCACATGTAAGTCGTCAGCGCAGAGAAAATAAATCACTACTTGAACCGATCACATTGGTTTTAAAGCTTCATATATTGTAATAAACTATACTTTGATCAAAGGTAGTGGAATCCACACAGTCCTCTTCCTTTTAGTAGCACACTGCTCACTTGTGTATGTAGCCGCAGATCTGAAAGGAAATAAAGGAAAAACTGTGCAACATACAATTCAAAATAACGTAGTAATGTGTTTAGAAACAAATTAGAATTTATGCTGCAAGTCATGACCAGGACTGCAAGGTGGTTCGGTGGTTAGCACCGTCGCCTCGCAGCTAGAAGGTC